TCCAGCAGCCATTCACATAATTGAGGAGAGTGCACTGGTCCAGTAGTTCTGGTATCTTAGTCCCTGAGTGAAACAGCAGTGGGCGAATAAGTCCAAAGTGGAGCAGGACCATCACCCCTGCAACAGGCTGCTAGAGTTCCTCTAACTGGAGAGACATACTTGACACCTTCCCTCCCTTACCCTACATATCTAGTTCCAGGTTAAGTCTAATGGGTTTAGTCCCATCACCACCCCTATACTCTACTCCACCATCATTTCTCCCTCTCCACTGCCCTCTTCCTTGTCTGAGCTGCCATCATGTCTTCCCTGGACCACTGAGTAGCCTCTCCACTACCCCCAACCTGCCCCATAATCTACCTTTCTCACTGTGACCACAGTAGTGTCTTAATGCAAATATGCTCCTATCACCCACTACTAAAAATGTTTCCCCTTTAGGCACATCTTGTTCTACACTCCGCACCCAGCCTCCGCCTCCGTGACCATCTTTCAGGACCCCCAACACCCCCTACATCTAGTTAATTGTGCCTGTCCCTTCAGGCTTCTGTTCATCTGTCGCTTGCTCAGGGAACCCTCCCTGGTCTCCTTGACAAGGTCAGATCTCTCAGTAACAAGCTTTCTTCGCACCACAGACTTCTCCTTTGCAGCATGTATCAGAATCTCCAACCTTCCATTCATTTCTGTGATTACTTGCCTAGCATCTGCTTCTCCAGTCTTCCATGATGGTGGGCCAGTACACTGGCTGGGTGTGGGTGTAGGAGTGATTTGCAAGACTCCAATGGTGTAAATGCAACCACAGCAGATTTCAAGCTACCAACAATTGTGGCTCACAAAATCCCTGCAAACTTAATAATCGGCTCTCATGAGCTGGTATGAGCTAGCTTTAGGATATCAGCGGGGCAGGCCTTGTATTCTATGATCAATAAGATAACTGAAGGGCAATAAATATTCGGTGAAGGAAGGAATGAGCAATGCTGAAATTTAAATGAACCTCAGGATGACAATTGCTGTTTCCTGAAGATAAAAGATTTTGACTACTTTGAATGCCCAAGAACAGAATAAGGGAGTCATGTCATTTCTGTTCTCTGAGAACTGTTTAGATATTTACTTAACAAACATGTCTATATTGGGCACAAATCCAAGTGCTTTACATATACTAACTCATTTAATCTTCCTAATAATTAAAAGGTAGATTCTATTAGTATCTTCATTTTACAGATAAGGAAACTGAGGATCAGAGTAATTTGCCATCATGGTGCAGCTGGGCTTTGAACCCAGGAAGTATGACTGCAGAGTTCACATCCCTAAACACTATGCTGTGTTACATCAGGACTAGCTGTGAAATGAGATATGGCCCATATTTCCCTTGCTCTGCCCTGAGGACATGAGTAGGTGATTTTCAGGTCATTGCACCTCAACAAAGAAAGAACAGAATGGAAAGGGTCCAGAAACGTGCCAACATGATGGGAAATGTGGGCTCTTCTGGATAAGGACAGAGTAAACAGATTAAGGCTTTTCAAGAAATGGGCTTTATATACTTACTAAATTCTAATAGGAGGAAATTGACCTGGTCAACTTTCATAAAGAGAAATATTAAAACTTGAGAGGTGAGTTTGGGACATTAGTAAATGCACTATGTCCTCTAAATGTAGTCTCACTTCTCCTCTAAGACCATCCTAAAAGATGAAGATAGTCAGGACCATTTTAATGAACTAAGGGCACCAAAGCTGAGAAGTTAAGGAATATATATACCCAGACCACAGACCTACCCATTGGCATAATGAGCCCAGGTCCCCACCAGAGGATGGTCAGCCTCCACCTTCTCATGCTGTTCAATGTTACTTCCCAAGCAGGTCTCACAGAATCACAGCTGTTCAGAGGAAGTCAATTCCTGGAGCTAATTATGCTGAGCAGCAGTACAAGGTGAAATGTAATTAGATTCAAAGGAGGTTTACACTGATTCTGTGGTGATAGCCTAATATTGCAATAACAAGAGTTGGGAATGTGTTTCTAACTTTTGATGTGGCTGTTCATTTCACAAAGGAACTCCTAGGTACTAAATGCCTACAGTGTACAGGGACTGTCAAGGTTAAAGATGAACTCCTTCCTTTATTGCCCATTCTGTGTGCAGCATTGAGAATCATCCCAAAGGAAATGAAAGCACTGATGTGGAATTTTGCATGGGAGAAAAATGGCACTAATATAGAAGGAAAGGCAAGGACAGTCAGACTGTGGGGTAATTCTGGAAGCCAGGGTCCTCAATTCGATTTTGTCCTATAGGAGAAGAATGGGCAATGAAGACTTTTTAGTAAGGGATTGACATCATCGTCACCATCATCACAATAAAAAAAAAAAGCTACTATTTACAGAGCACCTACTGCCGCCCAAGGCTTTTAGCCCCCATACCTACCCCCTGAGGTAACTAATATTAACCCTACTTAGCAAAGAAGGGGCCAAAGGCAAGGGATAACACATAAGGGGCAGAGCCTGAATCTGAACCCACATCTACCTAAATTCTGTTTACCCTCACCCTAACACTCTGCAGCACCTTTGCTTTTGAACACATCCAGGACAACACGTGGGGATATAGGTTAGGGCAGTGGTCGGCAAACTCATTAGTCAACAGAGCCAAATATCAACAGTACGACGATTGAAATTTCTTTTGAGAGCCAAATTTTTTAAACTTAAACTATATAGGTAGGTACATTGTTATTAACTTAATTAGGGTACTCCTAAGGCTTAGGAAGAGCCACACTCAAGGGGCCAAAGAGCCGCATGTGGCTCGCGAGCCGCAGTTTGCCGACCATGGGGTTAGGGAGCCACCAGCATTTAGTTGGGTGGTTGAAGGCATGAGAAAGACCAAATTTAAGAGGAGAGATAGGAAGACCAGAGAAGCAGGGAAAGAAACTGCAGCTGAAGCAGGCAGTGTTAAGGAAATCATCCAAGTGCGAATTTTAAGAAGGAAAGAAGGGAATAACAGTGCAGAACACTACCTAGAGGTCAGGCAAGATGGGGATGGACAAGGAACTATAGGCTTTGCCAAATTAAAAGGGCTTCGGGGATTCACAGACAGCATTTTCAGAGGAGTGGTGGGGGTGGGTGCCAGATTGCTGTGGGCTGAGAAATGAGTGGGAGGTGAAGATAGGGCTGGCAGCGTGTAAACTTACTCTTTCAAGAAATATGATAGTGAGGGGCAGGGGAGGGAGGAGACCTGAAAGGGGAAGATGATGGCAGGAAGGGTTCTCTAGGGGGATAGAGATGGGAAGAGACTTGAGCAGTCGTAAGCGAGAAGGATAGGAAATGCTGCAAGACAGGGAGGCTCTCTCTGACACTGGCCCAGAGGAATGGAGAGCACAGTGGGTGGCTTAGTGAGAGCTCACTTGGCTGGACTTCTTCAGGGCTGGGAAATGATGGAGATGGATCTGATGATCTTGGTAGCCCCTTGAAGATCTGACATTCTTTCCCCTTTCTTCTTTCTCCCTTCCTCCCCTCCTTCCTCTTTTGCTCTTCCACAAATATTTACTGAGCACCTACTCAGTAAATATGCAAGGTCTTGTACTAGGCTCTGTGGCTATTATAATAAACAAAACAATGTACAAGGCGAGGCAAAAGTAGGTTTACAGTTGTCTGTATGGAAAATAATACAATCCTATATAATAACAGGCAAATATGCAAATAGACCGAACAGCGGAACAACCAGTCGCTATGAAGTGCACTGACCACCAGGGGGCAGACACTCAACGCAGGAGCTGACCCCTGGTGGTCAGTGCACTCCCACAGGGGGAGTGCCGCTCAGCCAGAAGCCAGGTTCACGGCTGTCGAGCGTGGTGGTGGTGGTGGTGGTGGTGGTGGTGGGAACCTCTCCTGCCTCCACAGCAGCACTAAGGATGTCCAACTGCCGGCTTTGGCCCACTTCCTGCGAGCCTAAGCCGGCAGTCGGACATCCCCCAAGGGCTCCCAGACTGTGCACCGGGCCTCTAGTAATAAATAAGAATACAAGGATAAACTCTGTGTTTCATGTACTCACAACTGTAAACCTACTTTTGCCCCACCCTGTATATCATCCTTACAATTGAATGGGGAGACCAGCATTAAACAAGAATGTGCACAAATAGAGTATGTGTGTGAGTACACATTGTATGATAGCATTAATAATTGCTATGTTTACTGAGCACTTCCAAAGTAATAAGCACTTATAAGCATTTCTCACCCCTTAAGAAAGGCAGGTCAGAAAAGAGAGGCACAGAGTGGTCAGATGACTTCACACAACTAAGGTAAGTGGAGCATGAGATCAACTTAGATTTGCCTGCCTTCTGGCAGGGGCACTTAACTGCCCCGACTCTCTGTGTTTAGAGCAGTGGGCACCAGGATGAACAAAATCTGGAGGCGTCCCCACCCTCGGGGAGCTCACAGTCCCTGAGCATGGGGAAGAAACCAAGAGTTCATTACTCCCTTTTTCCTCCAAGTGTGGTCCCTGGACCAGCAGCATCCGCAGCACCTGGGCGCTTGTTAGAAATGCAGAAGCTCCAACTCGGGACCAGGGGACTGACTGCAGTGTAACAAGACCCGCGCGTGCTTGGTGTGCACTTTCCAGGTGGCGAAGCCTGGTCTAGAGCCCACTGCTCCGATTAGAGATGAGACACCCTGGCTCAAGCCTCTGCAGGTCAGAGATGGTGGAACTTCAAGGCTGGGTTTAGGAACCCAGCCTAGGCCTGAATGGGCGGTTCCACTCTTGTCCTAGGAGGCCCGCGGGTGGGACAACGAAGGGGAAGAAACGCAAGGTGCTCAGAGCATGCACGGTGCTCCATGGCGCTCGGCGCGCGCGGAGCGCTGTCGGTGCGCATGAGGTGCTCACAGGCTCCGGGGCCGAGCCCAGCGGAGGCGGCGTGGGCGCCCTGAGGGCCTGGCCGCCGCGCCGCGCCCCCTTCCCCGCGCCGGGCCGGGTCAGCCCGGCCCCTCAGCTCCACCCCCTGCCTCCCCCTCCCGCCCGCTCGCGCCTCCTGAAAAGCCTACCAGCCCCGGGCGGCGGCGCAGAGCCGGCCCGGCGCACCAGGCAGCCAGTGCGGCCATGACGGCGGAGAAGGCGCTGCCTCTGGGTAACGGGAAGGCTGCAGAGGAGGCGCGGGAGTCTGAGGCGCCAGGGGGCGGCGGGGGCGCAGCGGCCGTGCGGGTCCCGCGCGACAAGGCGGTGCACGAGCGCGGCCACTGGAACAACAAGGTGGAGTTCGTGCTGAGCGTGGCCGGGGAGATTATCGGGCTTGGTAACGTGTGGCGCTTCCCTTACCTGTGCTACAAGAACGGAGGAGGTGAGGTGGCCGGCGCGCGCGCGGCCCTGGAGAGGGCGCGGGAAGGGGGGGCCAGCCCGGTGGGTGCGGGGAGGCTGGGCGTGAGCGCGAGACCCCTCCCGCGCCTGCGTGTAGCGGGGCCCTGAGGGGAATGCCGGCTCTCGGCCACCTGGCGCGGGAGCTGACCCCCGCCGGCGCACCTGCCCAGCGCGCACGCGCACGTGCTCTTCGCACCTCCGTGAGCCGCCTGCCGGCGCGGCACGTGATGGCCTGTCTGCCGCCCAGTCCAGGAGCCTTGGCATTTGCGACCTGTACTGCCTTTGGGGGCGGGAGACAACCCCTTGGAGCCTCCACTTTGCTAACTGGAAACCTCCATGAGGAAAAGGAGCTGGCTTTTGAGCGCTTACTGAAACGCCAGGCTCCGTACTGAGCATCCCATTGAATCTGTAGACTCATCTCACCCATTTTGCAGATGAGGAAACTAAGGGTCAGAGAAGTCACTCACTTAGAAACTGATAAAGATGGTGTGCTGATACCAAAGGCCTTGTTTTTAAAGTAGGATTAGATGGATAACAGGGAGTACTTTTTGGTTAGGCTCTGCTGTTTGATTTCCTGCCCAGTCTTTCATTTGCTCTTAAGGCCCTTTCTATGGCCTCCTTTTGGGCCTCTCTGGTGGAAGAATTGGCACCAAGCAGTTTCCTTTACTGGTCTCACAATCACCCACGACAAATAGCAACAACGTTGATTTATTGTTTAAGAGCTGCTTAGAGATTGGGGCTTGGGACCCAGGAAAGGGAGGTGATGAGATAATCCTTTGTAGTAACATCTCCAACTAAGTTTGGTGGAGATGCAGCAAGTGCATCCTCAAATCTCTCAGTTTAAGAAATGGGCTCCAGACTCCAGGAGCCCCCACCGGTCATTATTATCAGAACAGCCAGCAGGTCTGAGGCAAAGGACCTTGTAAAACTTTATTGGGTGGCATCGTTTCCCCCAGACAAAGCCTGTATCTATGTATTCTTCTCCATCTTTGCTGTTTCCCTGCCTCTCCAGCAGATCCCCGACCTCAGTGAAAGTAGCTTGGAGTTGGCTGGCAGGGACCATGCTGTTGGGCTGTGTGGAGCAGGATTTGATGTGTGAGCAGCTGTAGGGAACGCAGTCAGGGTACTGCTTAGCCTGAACCCCCCTCTCTTTGGAGACATTCATCCTGAAGGCACAGGCTGCTCCATGCCTGCTCTACACTGGCAATGACGTGGCTGCTGGTGTAGTGGCGTGGCAAGGGGCAGAGAAGCAGTGGGCTCCGGGACCCTGAATGTGCCTTGCACCCTTAGCCATGGATCCCCCTTCTCTTTGCAAATTCAGCCATCATAAGCTACATGTCTGTTTAGAAACATGTGCAAACCCTTTAGAATAGCCCCAGACAAAAATTGTTTTAGCATAATATTTTCATGCCAGAAATTTTTATGCCGAAACTAAAAGCATTTCTAAAAGCAGAAAACACGATAAGTTGGGTTCATTACAAATTCTGCCACAGATTTAAAAGGTTGTGGTGAGTAAAGTTTAAAAATTAGTCTTTTTTTAAAAAAAAACTCTAACTTTCCAAGATTCTCCATTGGGTACACAGATATCTTGATTTAATTGAGACAGTCACCTTAAGTATTACTAGCTTTGTGGATATATAGGCCAAAAGGCTTTTAAAAGTGTCATTTGTTAGGTTCTAGAGCAGTGGTTCTCAACCTTCCTAATGCCACGACCCTTTAATACAGTTCCTCATGTTGTGGTGACCCCCAACCATAAAATTATTTTCGTTGCTACTTCATAACTGTAATTTTGCTACTGTTATGAATCATAATGTAAATATCTGATATGCAGGATGTATTTAAGCGACCCCTGTGAAAGGGTCGTTCGACCCCCAAAGGGGTCACGACCCACTGGTTGAGAACCGCTGTTCTAGAGGATTCACAAGTAAATTATAGCATATTAGGAAAGCTGCTGCAGCTTGTTTTAATCACAAGTTTAAATCCAGCAAACACCCTTTTATCCCCTTTCAGACACTTTTGGCCTTCTAATATTGTTGGGGTATCTGTTTATCAACTGTTTACCTTTTTAAAAAATATCCACACAGCTCTACTCATAGATTTTAATGGTAGTTTAAAGTATTTCTTTTCTACTGTGAAACTTTAAAAATAGTGTCTTGCACAGAAAAGCTAAGAACCTTTCAAAATCTGGTGGATATGGTTCTATTATCAGGATTAATCAAAATTGTTGCTATTGATCCTGCAGTTAGAGAGACTTCATTTAGCAAAAAGCAATTTCAGTTAAAGCCTTCATTTGTGAGATCAGATGGTGGGAAATGGCATGTGTTTTTCATGCTTTGTTATTAGAGAGAGAGAGAGAGAGAGAGAGAGAGAGAGAATGAATGAGGGATTTGGAAAAATCCCTTTCTGGTTATAATAGCTCATGTTCACCTCAGTTATTTAATTTGTTTTACAGAAAGGCACAGGCAATGGATATTGTGTTTCCAAATAGGAGCACTAAGGCTTATGGTGGTCTTTTCTCAGACTGATCCAAAGCCAGCCTTTCTGGACAGATTCTTGCTGCAAACTCTTTATAACTCAACTTCATACCTGGGCCTCAGGTATAGGCGCCTGATATTGCTCATTGCATATCTCCTTAAGATTACTTTTCTTTATGAAGAAGCTATTTTGCAGGTTATTTCCAAAGTAAATAGAAGAAGGGGTCCCTTCACCTGGCCTTTTGAAGTTACTTTAGAATAAAAAGGAAGGATGCAACAGTCAGAGAGAATGAATTTGACCTATGCTGGAGGGTGAAATGTAAAAACAAAAAAATCAAGCAATGAAACATTTTCTTTTACATTATCATCTTATCTACACAATAATTCTGTGAAATAAGCGGTGTAAATATTAGGGATTAAAGCCCCATATTACAGAGGAAGAAGTTGAGGCAGGGAGATGTGAGATAGATCACTCAGGGTAACAGGTAGCAGAGGACACAAGCCCAGGCCCACATTTTCTGACTCTGGTCCTCATCCTGGCAACCTGAACTCAGGCTCAGAGAACATTTTGTCTTGCCTATAGTAGGTGCTTAGTAAAGATTTCTTGTGCTGAACATAAAATGGTGGGAGCAATTTTAACCTCATTCCCATATTTTGCATTCTTGCAGGAGCATTCCTGATTCCCTATGTGGTGTTTTTTATTTGTTGTGGAATTCCCGTGTTTTTCCTGGAAACGGCTCTGGGACAGTTCACGAGTGAAGGTGGCATTACATGTTGGAGAAAAATTTGCCCTTTATTTGAAGGTAAAGATTGAGTTAATCAGAAAATAAAATTATGCCTGAGTGATGTTAGGTTATGACGAGTATGTGAGGTGGACAGAGATTTAAATCATTCCCTTTCCTTGTTCTTTCAGGCATTGGTTATGCAACACAGGTGATCGAGGCCCATCTAAATATATATTACATTATCATCTTGGCATGGGCCATTTTCTACCTGTGCAACTGCTTCACCACCGAGCTCCCCTGGGCCACCTGTGGGCATGAGTGGAACACAGGTATGCCCTCAGGGAGGGTCTCTCTTCTGGTCCTGCTGGAGGACCTGGAATTGGGGGGGGGTGTCTTTGTCCTGGAATCAATCCTGTCCTCTGGGCTCTCTCTGTGAGTCCAGATTCCACTGAAACTGTAGGTCAGTTCTGCACTGGTTCTGGGTCCATGCTGTGGGTTGCAGTGCTGAAACCTAAGCTGAGCCTTGGTCCAGGAATTGGCCTGGGTAGAAGATGATGATGCTTTTTCTTCGCTTTGCCAAATACAGAGACTGAGCCCTTTGGGGGCAGAGTGGAGACATGAGGGATTCAGCCTCTAATTTCAGCCCTGCTTCTCTAGGCATTGGGTTTTCCTTTGTGAAATGAAGGGGTTAGCTTAGGGATTGCAAACGGGGCCAGTAAGCCAGTTAGGCTTTAGGTCAGTGACCAGCAAATATAAAAAAATTTATTTGACAGCTCAAATTGAAAAATTGGAAGACTTCACGTGAAAATCCAGATTTCCAGCTTCTCTGGAAAAAATTGAAAAGATCTGGCAACACCAGACCCACATTCCCACATTCTTGCTTGGCAGCAATGGTTGCAGCAGAGAGGCAGCTGTTACCTTTGGATGAGGCCACAATCCTCACCCAGTCCACTTTGCTCATTTACTTTACCTGTCCAACACAGGTAGATATTTGAATTCACTATCCCACCCTCTCGCTTGAATAAGTAACTTTTTAGATTACTTTAGATTCTAATTTGGTATGTGCTTTTCAATTTGTCATCCTTTCAGGACCGAGACATAATCCAGAGAAGGCAAATTCATACCAACTCATATCTGTGGTACCTATGCTTAGAGCAGACATCACTAATCAATTGTAGAACTCTTTCCTTTTGAGTTTAGCATTGACCTCAGAACCCTTCTCAGCAGTGCTCCAGGCAACTACTGCCTTTTGACTGAAATTGACATACATGCTGTAAGCTATTCACCATCCCTGTAGTTAGGTTGTCCCTGGAAGCGGCCTGTCATCCTAAAGGCTGAGCTATGGCAAGATTGGGTAGGATGTTGGTCACCAGCAGAAGGAACAGCAGGTATTAGGCCTAGAAAGTGCTGTGAACTAGCTTCTAACCCTGCATAGCTTTGCCCTGCTCCCTCTCCTATTGCACTTTGTGGACTTTTCACTGTCTCTTTAGGGCCCTGGTTCTTAACCTTTCTTTGGCCAGGGATCTCTTAGAGATGTTTATCAAATTAAAATTCAAGGACATATTCTTGGAGGCCTGTGAGTCCTCCATGATAATTTAATTGTGTATGTTTATTTTGAGGGTACTCTAAAAATATGCACAGGTTCTGGATCATCTGCGCAACACCTTATAACAGGAAAGTCAGCATATTTCAGTGCCTGACTTTATTCGTGTTTACAATTAAAGATGTATTCTTGGTAAATAGGATGATGGCAGCCCAGGGGAAAAGAGCAGAGAGATATTTAATTCATAAATGGTACATTAGTACTAAATGAAATTCCAGTTGAGAACACCTCAAGTTATAGGAATAAAGGTTTTGCAAAAGCATGAACAGAGAAAGATGGTGATAGAGTTGAGTCTCAAATAGTGCATGGAAAAATAGGCAAGCCAAGCCCAATATAGACCCTGCCTCCTGCCTGTCAGTTCATTTCTGTTGAAATCCATTTAATATTACAAAATGACATTATCTTACACACCTGCTTTATTTGAATTGTATTGGGTCTGTAGTTTAGTTGGTATTTATTGGTACATTTTAATTCTAGTTTTAGAGTTGTATGAATACTGTAATTACAAAGACTTTATAACTCGTTATTTATTTGTGCATGATTAATGATTATCTTAATAAAAATACCTCGACAAATTTAAGTGTCTGAGAATGTTTTTTACTCTAGAAAAAAACAAACAAACTTTGAGAAACACAATTTTAGAGACTCGGACAAGCCTTTGACAGGGAAGTGGAAAAAGGGGAAGGAGATTCGGGAGCAAGGCAGGAAGAAAGTTTGATAGGGCACATTGAGTGAGAATAAGAGAGAAAAGGCTCCCTGCCCCCCAGACTTTTCCTCCTGTTTGACTCAACCAGACCAAGCCTCTCAAACTGTTTGTAAGTTATTGATTTTACCCCCACTGTTCTTTGAGGCGTGTTTACTTGGAGCAGTTGCTCCATCGGCTCTGAATGTTTTCCCAGATCCAGCCCTTGTGGAGGTTAATCTTGTATTTCTTGTCTTGTTTCCACTGTAGAGAAATGTGTGGAGTTCCAGAAACTGAACATGAGCAACCACAGCCATGTGTCCCTGCAGAATGCCACCTCTCCCGTCATGGAGTTTTGGGAGTAAGTGGAATCTGACTCATCTCCCTTGTCCTGTGGGGGACACCGTCCTTGTTCTGCTCAGTTAATATTGCCCTCACCCGTGGAAAAAGCCTGACCCTCCCTCCAGTCTTGCACTTCCTGGCTTCCGTGGGCATTTAATGGTGCTGGGAGCCAGAGTGGACCTCTTTAGAGGCTCCCCAAAAGGACAGCTGAGAGAAATGCTTTCTTGTTCTTCGATGACATGTCAGCATGCCTAGTTGCTTGTGAGGGCAAGAAGTGATTGGTAAAATGATGCCCAGTTTAAAAATGTATTTTTAACAAAAGAGAAGATGTTTGCAAAAACCTTAAGTCAAGAGTACGTTTAGCCTGGAAAGCAGACCTCTCCAGGGGGAACAGGTGAGCTTTCTTTCTATAGCTGAAGTAGATGAACTTTAACGGATAGAGGTTATCGAGAGGCAGGTTTCAAATGTGCTTAAGGAAGAGCTTAGTCTCGCAGCCTTGTCTGTAAGTACTTCTGAAAGTTGTGAACACTCTTCCCCAGAAGTGTTTGTTGTTGGGGAGGTGTCTGAATCCACAGACATTACAGGCAATAATTGTAATTCCCGAGAGATGGGAATTTTTTTATCTATGTTCCAAAGGGGCTTATGACCTGGGAGTTACGGGGCTGCCACATATGGTTGTATTAGTTGTATTCGCTGCAGACCCCTAGCGGGGCATTATTAACACTGTGGAGTGTGTGCTCCAGAATTGTGCAGTGTCAACCTGCCTAACTGCACACGATGGCCCTGATTTAGGAGCATCTGCAGTAAAAGTGGGGTCCCTTTCCCACGGTATTCAAGAGGCTTCCTTTGTGGGTCAAAGGCTGGCTGAATGCTTTCTGACTCTTTTTCATCTGAAAAAAATCTGGTTCATTGAAGAACCTGTGCTATCTTAATGCTCATTACTAGTAGCATAGAGGAGCAGTGATTTTATGAGTGATTTTTCTTTCTTTCCCAGGTACCATTCCTCTCCTCCTCTCTTTAGAAGTCATTATGCTGAATTTAGATTTATCATTCTCATGTTAATGCTATATGCATATTCGAAACCCAAATAGTACCCAGGTCTTTCTTGTATGTTTTAAAATTTTACATTAATGGTACCCCTTACTTACATTTTTACAATGAGATGAGACACCGTGGCTCAAGCCTTTGCAGGTCAGAGATGGTGGAACTTCAAGGCTTGGTTTAGGAACCCAGCCTAGGCCTGAATGGGCGGTTGCTCAATATTGATTTAAAGATGTGTCTCTATGATACGTGTAGCTTTGGTTCATTCTGTTTTTCCTGTTGTATAGTATTTCAATGTATGAATAGGCTTCATTGTATTTAGCCAGCTCCTCTGGATGGGCAATTAGACTATCTCCACTTTCCCACTATTATTAAGCACATTGAGTGCTTCTTTGCTGTGCTTCTCTGTTTGCATAAGTGAAGGTTTCTAGTCCATATACCTAAGAGTGGAATTGCTGGGCAGGAGGGTGCATGCATTATCAGTTTTATCAGATAATGTCAAATTGCTTTCCAAAAGGACTACTTTAATTTTTTCTCCAAGCAAGAGTGTGTGAGAATTTCTACTGCTCTACATACTAGATAGTACTTGGTCTGGTCAGAGTTTTTAAGTTTTGCCAGTGTAATGGGTATGAAATGGCATTTCTCTGTTTTATATATGCATTCTCTATTTACTTGTGAGATCAAATATCTATTCATGTTTTTTATTCTCTATTTGGGTTTCCATGTCTGTGAACTTCCTGCTCATAACCTTTTCTCTGTGGATAGTTTGTCTTTTCTCACAGGTAGAAAATCTTGATACATTCTAAATATTAGTATCTAGGCTGCAAATGGCTTTTCATAGTGTATGGCTTTTCTTATTTATTTATGGCATATAGGAGTTTCAATTTTACTGAAATAAAATTTGTCAATCTTTTTGGTTTGCATAGTTGATGTCTTACTTAAGATATATTTCCTTAACCCAAAGTTGTAAAACATTTTCTTCTAAGAGTTTTAAAGTTTTCTTTTTTCACATTTATGAGTATGATCTACCTGGAATTTTGCTTTTGCATGTGATATGAAGTAGGAATCCAGTGTTTTAAAAATAATAATTTCTCCAGCAATATTTACTGATCTGTAGGACTATCTTCCATATATTGTTTTCCTAAAAGCACAGGTCTCTTTGGGGTTTTGCTGTTCTGTTTCATTCATCTCTTTTGCTAATTGTGTGACACTACACCTGTAGCTTTATTGTAAGTCTTGAACTGGTGAGGCAAGTTCCTCACTTTGTTCTTTTCCAAAATTGTCTTAGTCTTCCAGATGAATTTTAGAATCAGAACAAACAATTCTGTGGGAATTTTGGTTGGGAGTGTATTGAACTTATAGGTTAATTTAAGGAAAACTGACATCTTTTTAAAAAATATATATTTTTATTGATTTCAGGGAGGAAGGGAGAGGGAAAGAGAGAGACAGAAACATCAGTGATGAGAGAGAATCATTGATTGGCTGCCTCCTGCGCACTCCCTATTGAGGATCAAGCCCACAACCCGGGCATATGCCCTTGACTGGAATCAAATCCAGGATCCTTCAGTCCACAGGCCGATGAGCCAAACCAGCTAGGGCAAAATTGACATCTTTATGCTTGAGCCTCTCTGTCCATGAACATGGTATAGCCCTACCTTTATTTAGGTCTTTTAAAATTCCCAGAGGAGCAGTGCTATTTAAATGTGGTCTGCAGAGGAGCAGCATTAGAATTGCCTGGTTGGAAATGCAAATTCTCCAGCTCTTCCCAGACCAAATGAGTCATAGCCTCAAAGAGAGGATCTATATAATATAGCTCCAGAGGGGTGGCTGCTGTGGTGGGTGGGTCTGTGTGGCCTTTTCCAACCCCATCAGGTGATGATTTCTCAGAGGACTGTTACAGAAACTCCTTTTGGACCTGCACATTTGAGGATCTGTAAAACATGGTCTCTGTGCTCCCTTAGAGAACCCATCCTAAAATCCCACACTGGGCAAGGTCTCTATGTAATTACTGTTGTTTGCACCATTCATTTCCTTTGTAACATATATGGAAAACCTCAATTAAGTAATTATTTATGCAATATGCTTGTTTATTGTCTGAATTTCCCATAGACAGTCATGATGCAGCACCTTTTCTGGTTTTACTCACCACTGCTGGTCTATGGAAGGCCCCCAGTGAAGGATTACAGGATAAATGCATGAGAGACAGGCAGGGAGGCAGTATTTCCTAGAAAATACTACAAAAGAAGTGTCAAAGTGGGCTCTGGCAAGAATTCATCCTGTCACTCAGCTCCCCAGCGACAGCCATGATTACTTCCAGGATCCCTTTACAATCCATATCACCTACCCATTTGGGCACAGATTCAGGAGGGGACAAGTTAATCTGTGTCTGCAGGTGTCCCTGGACCTTTTTGCCTGCGACTGGGTCTTTCAGGGTGAAAGTCCATGGGACAGTGAACCCAAGGTTCTAGTTTTGTATTCGTGTTGCCTCTGCATCATCTATACAGTGTTGAATTCTGCATCATAAAAGTCCTCAAATGCTGGTGTGACACTCACCCCTTCAGAAGGTGCTTCCGTAAGACAGCTGTAATTCATCTCTCCCCGGGAGAAGAGCTTGGAATGTAGAGACTCTGGGAGATGTGCATCGCATCCTATGAAAAACTATTTGGGCCACATAAATTTGAGAAGGGCTGAAAGCTACCTAACAGATAAAGAATATCTGTTATCTTTGATTAACCCAAATTTCCAAATGTATTTTCCAATGAAATCTTTTTCCTCCTTCCACCCCCACACTCACTCCCTGAGTGCTAGCATTATACTACACATAGTCTGACAAATACTTTTCTAGGAGGAAGTTCTCCCTTAAGTTCTCCCTTAAGTTGAGCCGACTTTCAGTTGACTTCTGAAGCTTTGGAAACAACAGGCCTTATTCCTTTTCTATGTGACAGCCCTTCAAGTATTGGGTCAGGTTTCCTCAAAAACATTTCTTCTCTAGTTCTTGTGCTGTGGCTCACAGGTACACCTCTGTTCACATCTTCAGTGCACCTGTTTTGTCTTTTTTCAATGCCTCTAACTCTGGGACCTCACTCAGGGCCACATTATTGGTCAGAGTAGACTGCATTGCATATTCATTCATTTGGCAAGTGTCTGAGCTCCTGGGGCACATAGGAAGAACACCGTGCATTTCTGGAGGAGGCAGAACTATAAGATGTGGATCTAACCCTCTAGAAATAGAGGTGAGACAGGCCTGCACAGATTACCATAAAATTCTTCATAAAGTGCTGCTTCTCCACCCATGGCCAGCCATGGCTTCACCTTGACCTTGGGCACCTGCCTCCAACCCTCTTTTGAGGATCCATTTCCTTTTTCAGGGTATAATTAAAATTATTAGCTTAGCCAGTAAAAACAGCTCAGGCCCTAAGTCAGTCCTGGATTCTGGCTCGAGCAGAGGACTTATGGGGTAGGAGTTGCTTTTCTTCCTGATTACAGATTTCAAAATTTGGCCATCCTGGTATCCCTTAGTAACTCACTGTGCATCTGGTATCCTTGCATTTATTTAAATATGTTTGCAGTTCTAAATTTTGAGCTTGTGTCCTCTGGTGGGATTGAGTCCTAGTATGTGTGTAACCAGCATTGTGGCATCAGATGGACTTTGTTTTCATATTCTTTTCTCAGTCTCTCGGGTCCCTTTAGTGTAGGGTTTTGTGAGCAAGTTCATGCTTACTTTGTATACAGTTGAAATCACTTATGCATGGTGTCCATTCAACAAATTCTTTTGAGCACATATGGTGTGCTTGGCCCGTATTAAGCTCTAAGGACTATATCTTTGTTCAAAAGGATGAGGTCTTGTTTTTCTGGTTTGTGTACACGAAGAGTTTTTCAAAATTTGTTTATTTTGGGTTCTGGCCAGTTTGGCTCAGTGGCTAGAGTGTCGGCCTGCTGACTGAAGAGTCCCGGGTTCGATTTGGGTGAAGGGCACAT